TGGCAGGGAAGAAGTGGGGTGAGCAGAGACACCGGAACACGTGCCCAGCTCAAGGGCCGAGCACTGCGGGCCAGCAGCACGGCCAGGGGCAGCCTGGCAGGACCACGTCTGGTGGCACCCTGAGCTCACCCAGCAGGGCCCAGCGCTCCAGAGGAGATGGAGACTCTCCATCTGCCTGGCAGCCACCCACTACCCTCCTCCAGAGCCCATCACCGAACCTCTCGCCCCGCACACACCGCAGCCCTCAGCTCGGGGGTGCAGGCTCAGGGGTGCTGAGGAGCCCAGCTCAGCCCCAGTGGGACCCACACCAGCCCCAGATGCAGTTTTTCCTCTCAGCACCCACCCAGGCAGCCCATCATCCTTCAACCTCTCCAGGCAAGCCAGCCACAGGGCCACAGTGTCTCCCTACCTGGCTCTCCACCAGCATGGCCATGTCCATGAACATGTCGTGTAGCTCTCGGATGCTGTTCTCCAGTTTGATGATCTCACTGTGCCGTGTCTCAATCTCGTTCAGTGCCTGCTTGGTGATGTTTGAATCCATGATGATCTGCAAGAAGACAGGGCCACTGAGCAGTGTGCTCAGCCCCTCAGATGCTGGGATTAGGGGCATCAAGAGAGGGGCCACCCTCTGGCCCCCTGCTCAGGCAGCTTCCTCAGGCCAGACCCAAGAATCCTGCTGCACAGGCTGTGCTTGACTCTCCACTGTGGCAGCACATCCACCACCCAACCCCTCCCCAGGATGAGGGGGCTGGCTTGGCTTTAGCCTGTGTCAGTGCTTACCCCAGAGGAGAAGATGGCCGGGTTGCCGCTCTCCAGCATGTCCTCCAGCTCCTCACTGGTGGTGGTCCTCCCAGCTGCAAGTGACACAACACAGGTCAGACACAAGCCCCCTGCCCCAGCCCCAGCTCCTGCAGCGCGCTCCTGTCTCCATGGCATCTCCACAGAGCAGAGTGCACCAAAGCTTCCAGCCCGGAGAGTGCCCCGGGTGGTTCAGGGAGCTGCCATCCCATAGCCTGGCTCTGCACCCCCCCTGTGACCCTCTTTTTAGGGGGGTCAAGCTGTCAACTTGGCCCAGCTCACCCAGAAAGCCTGTCTGTCACTCCTGGTCAAGCTACCCATGCCTGCAGGGCAGGGAGTGGTGCCAAAGGAGCAGGACCCAGACGATGGGCTGGGAAAGAGGAGGGTTGGAGAGCAGCAAGCCAACAGCAGGGATATTGAAGATCCTGGGCTAGTTGAAGATGACGAGGACAGCTCAGCAGGGCTCAGCAGGGCAGGTGCTGCTGCAATTGCTGGCCTGCCTGAGTTTTAGCACTGTAGCTGCCTAAGAGAAACCAGGCTCTGCCCTTCCCTCCACAACACAGCCCTCCTCCTCTGGGAGCAATTGAGCCATTGTGCATGGTTGCCTTCCTTTCCTCATGGACATGCTCCACACTCCTACAGAGGAGAGGGAGATGAAACGCTCTGGGTTACATTGATCCTCCACCATGAATTTCAACATGTTCTCCAGGCTAACGGCCAGGTAGGACCTGGGAAATTCCAGTGCTCTGCAGAGATGACAGCATTGGGCAGGCTCCTGCTGGGGCTGCCCAGTGGAGTGAAGGGTGAGCAGAGAGGGCAGGAGACATCCCACTGGTGTAATGAGGAGTAAATGGGGGAAGACAAGCAGGAGCAGCTCCCCTGCACCACACTGCCTGCAGGCTCTGCCAGTGGTGTCATCCTCCGGGATGAGTTCAGGGCACCTCTGAAAGGAGGAGATGTGGCAGAGAGCAGGGACAGCCCACAGGATGGTGCTCCCTGCTTCCAGTGCTGCTGCACCAGGGACTCCGGGAGGTGCCAGAAACCTTGAACCTGATCCAAACCTTCACCACAAGTGTGCCAGTGCTCCAGGGAGCACAGTGGAGGGACCTGCCTGCCCAGCCACACCTGGCCACCACCCCACAGGCATGGTGCACACTACCAGCTTGCTGGGGAGTTCCTTAAACAGGGACACCTTCACACTTCACTACATGTCTCTTTCTATGCAAGGTCCTGCACCTGAGGCAGGGCAATCTCCAGCACCAGCACAGACTGGGGAAGAGAAGGAGGAAGGAAGAGAGGGATGGAAGGATGGATGGATGGATGGATGGAGAGCAGCCCTGTGGAGAAGGACTGGGGGATACTGGTGGGTGACAAATGGGACATGGCCCAGCACTGTGCGCTTGCAGCCCAGAAAGCCAAGTGTCTCCTGGGCTGATCAGCAGCAGCGTGACCAGCAGGTCAAGGCAGGGGATGCTCCTCCTCTGACCCGCCCTTCTCAGACCCCCTTGAGCT